CCCTGCGATCCGAGCGAGAACCTAGTCCGCGGTGGGCGGGGCCGGCCCGGAGCCCCGCCCCATTCACGGCCCCTGAAACCGAGCGCCTACAAGCCCCAGTCCCAGAAGGGAACTGCTGTCTGAGCAGGAAACCTCATCTTCACTGGCCAGCCGGGAGAGGAACTGGGGTCGCGCCGGGCGCCCGACGGACCCTCCCCGGGGACGAGCCTGCCCCACTCCGCCCCGCCCCGCCGGCCGCTCCGTATCAGGTTCTCCAGCCACAGCCTTACCTGAATCACCAGGGCTTCCAGAGGATGCTCCTGCCACCAGCGGAGACCTCGGGGCAGCAGTGAAGGGGGCATCCATCTCCGCCCCCCATTCAGCTCCTCTCCTCCTAGTCCAGGGGCTCCCCCAGAGGGACGAGCATGGTGGTTTTCCGTTGGAGCCCCCTGGCTTGGGACGTCTGAGAAGATGCCTGCTATGAGACTATTCACTTGCTTCCTACAGCTTCTGGCCGGGCTGGCGCTTCCTGCTGTGCCCCCTCAGGTAAGACCCACCCTCACCTCCCAGCCTGGCTCCCCTGATCTTCCCATCCTTGACACTCGAAGCCGGGCGCTCTGAAATCCCCTGACCCACTCCGGGGAGCGGCCCCTCCAAGGATGTCCACACATTTCTCAGGAGCCAGGGTGGACCACATCGTCTGGGAGGAGACCTCAGGCTGGGCTGTCCCAGACTCCAGCTCTGGGGTCTGTCTTGGCGGGGGCAGGGAAGCCACAGGGAAGGGAAGGAGGTTTCCTGTCTGGCCCCTGGAGCTCCAGTGGCTTTGCTAAAAGCATCTCTTCACTAATCCCAGGCCGGTCCCTGGCCTTGTGGTCAGGGTCGAGGCCTGTGACCAAGCAGACGCCCCCAGGACCTCTGACCTGGCCCGATGGAGGTGAAGCCCATAGAAGACGCCATTGGTGGGGAGGCTGGGCCCTGCCCCCACTAGGGCTCCAGACTGAGCGCAGGGCTTGGGGTGGGCTGGGGGCAAGACAAGAGGTCCTGCTGTGCCTTCTTTCCCTGGTGGGCAGCGGAGGTCCTGAGTGCAGGGCCTGGGGAAGTGAGCAGGGCCCTTTTCCCAGGAGCGGGGTGAGTCTGGCCAGGAGCCAGCTTCGGCAGTGAAATCCTGACAAAGCCAATGAGCTGCCTTCCCACTGCGCTGTGTCACTGCCTTGGGAGTCCCCAGCCTCAGCCCAGGAGTGGGTAGGCTGGACAGTCCCCTGAGGTAGAAAAACCTTATCACCCGCCACCCTCCTGCCTGCTGCAGGGCTGGTTAGAGGTGTAACGTTACCGGCAGCACCAGCTCATGGCGCCACCGGCTCCAGCCCCTTGGCTCCCACTGGTTGATCACCACCCCCTGGGCTCTGGCACCCAGCCAAGGCGGGCTGCACAGAGCCCAGCAGGGCTGGCCTGGTGGCTGGATAAGAGGGAGACCCCAAGGGATTGCAAGATCTTTGGGACACAGAAGACAAGGGGTCTTCAAAAACCTCCAGCCTCCCACCCTTTCCGAATGAGGAAACTGAGGCCAGAGTGAGGACTGGAGCCCACCTAGAATCCAGTGAGGTTTTAGTTGCACCTGGAAAGAGACAGCTCAGCTCTGAGAAAGGGCAGAGAGTGTGCGCAGTGGGTAGGAAGGAGCTCAGGGGGGCCTCTACACTCTTGCCAACAGCACAGAGGCCCAAAGTGGTCCCCCTCATCTCTGTACCTTTCTGTCCACAGCAATTGGCCTTGTCTGCTGGGAACAGTTCATCAGAGATGGAAGGTAAGCCTGGATTGGTGCGCATGCTCGCCAAGCCCTTTCCTCCCAAGCCTCTGCAGAGGATGGGAAAGAACTGGTGTGAAGAGTAATTGCAGGATGATATTAAGTTGGGGAGAATCTGCAAGCCGGCGGATGCCCTGGCTGACAAAGTTGGCAGGGCTTGAGAAATCCCCGCATTGTGACCCAGAGGCCTATAGAGGTATATTCCCAGGCCAGGGTCACACAGTGCCCAGAGAGCAGAGCTGGAACTAGTATACCCAGGGTTGGCCTAGTTGGTTCAGGGCCCCTTCCCAGCATGATGTCAGGGGGCAGATGGGGTATTGGAGGGCAGTGTGGGCAGTGAGTGCCAGGGGCCAGACTGGGGAGCTGGAAGCTGGATGCAGTGGGCAAACCATCAAGAGAATCAGGGAGGGGCGAGGGGACCTTCCAAGCAGTCAGCCCTGGCGGAGCTGCAGGGATCTGACCAGGCCTTTCCATTGATTACAAACAGACAGAACATGAGTCGCGCCCTCCCTGGCCTCTCCACTCCCCATCCCGGGTTGCATCAAGAGAGAATCTTCAAAGGGCGAACTGTTTGCCAAAGAGACATACATGCAGAAGGCAGGAGGCCCATGCCAGGAACCCTGCCTTGCCTCTCCCTCCCTGCAGCAAGGCCACACACCACTGCTGAGGCTTCCCACGGAGCCGCAGGAGAGGGAGCATGTAGGGACGTGCATAGGCACACGCGTGATAACCAGTGTGAGCTAGGAACACCCTCCCTCTGCTGGCCTGCCTGCATAGTAGGCAGCCTCTCCTGGGCCTGGCCATGCTTGCATACCTGAATCCAAGACCCCTTGGGCACTGAGCAGATGGGGAAGGTAGCAGACCTTGAGTTCATTGACATTCTTGCCCTCCTCCTGATGTGCTGTCTGGGACTGGCACAATATTATGCTCTCTGAGATTTGGAGAGGGACCTGTCATCAACTCCACCCCGTGGCCTTTTTGATGCTTTTAGTGTATTTCAGGCAATAGTACCAAAGAAGTCTGAGCCTCAGTTTCCTCATCTGTAAAATGGGAGCAGTCAACTACATGATATCTAAGGTTCTTTTTCTAAGATCGTAGGATTCTCTGACTCCATGGAAGAGACACGGGAGTATATGTCTTCCAGGGCCAGGGTAAGGAGGCTTGGAAGTATCAATTCATCCTAATAACTAGGGAGCCTGTGTTGTGGCCAGGGGAAGTCCCATGAGCTTTGGACCTCAGATATCAAAATCTGAAAATGTCATCCCCACCTCTGCTAACACCAGACAAGAGACAGCATGCTCTGTACTTTGCAGCTATGGATGACGATTTTTACTACTACCATCATGGTAACAGCACTGGACATTTACTATAATTCTGTGCTGACCACAGGCTGTGAACTAGGAAGGCCTTTGTATTCTCCACATTTTATAGATGAAGAACCTGAGGCTCAGAGAGGCCCTTGGAATTGCCTAAAGCCTCAGACACCCCTCAGTGTCCACAGCTTATGGCTGAGCAGACACGAGCAGATTGTCCCTTGCGGCAGCTGGCTGTGTGCCCCAGTGACTATGGAGAGGACACCTGCCAGGCTAGGGCTCATGGCCAGCAGCTCTGCCCAGCCCTGTGGCCCCTCCCCAGTGGCCTCCCCAGGAGCTTACTCTCAGGATTAAACATGTCCCTTCTTGGGTCTCCTCGGTCCCGGTCCCGAGTAGTAGGCAGCTGGAGCCAGGTAGGAGGCTCTCCCACAGGGCCGACGAGAGAGACGAGAGCTCGCCTGTGGTCTGGGAGCAGCCTCCCGCTGCTCTCACCCCCACCCCTGCCTCTGGAGCAGGTCTGGGGCCAGAGGAAGTGCTCTCAGGAGCAGCTGAGCAGAGCTCTTTCCTGAGGGGCTCAGCCCACATCTGGGAGTGGTCACCGCTCTCTCAGTCAGCGGGCCCCTCACCCAGTCCCCTTTGTTTCTCCCACACATGCAGACAGCGGCCTCCAGGGATGGATTGCCCTCTTTCCTGGTGGCTGCCAGGTAAAGCAGTCCCAGCTTACCTCCTTCTCAGACTTTCCCCAGCACAATCTGCCCTGGCAGCCCGGAAAGTGGTGGGTTTCAGGGCCCCGAAGCCTGCGCCCTGTTGACACAGTCTGTACGGTGGGGTGTGGGGGCGAGGAAAGGAAATCCCTTCTTTTGCCGCCAAGGCAGAGCCGGCTCTGCTTAACCTGGCTGGGGCCCCGACAGCCCAGCTGGAATGGGTGTGTGTTTGCAGAATGTTAGAGGTTTGGGGGACTCTTTCTCTGTGGCTGTCCCCCTCCTTGATGGCTGGTCCCAGGGCAGTAGCTGGAACCTTCCACGGCACTTTGGCGGCTGGCTATTCCTCTGCTGTTATTTGTGCTTTCCAAGGCAGAGATTAAACATTTAGAGTTACATAGTACGCATGAAGATTTTAGACTAAACATGTATTCATGGAGTTACGATAGGGAGGAGCCCCTCTGACTTGTACTGCAAAGGTCAGCTTCCCCGGGGCTTCGGGGCTGCCTATGGTGAGAGGGGTTTGTTTCCCACTTGGGGTCCAGGGAGAGCTTCCTAGTGGCCTGGAGAGGTAGGATCAGGGGAGGCATCTGGTCTTTCTCCCAACCCTAGGCCCAGCCCTAGTACCTCCTAAGCAGACAGGGCAGAATGGAGCAGCAGACGCCCAGATAAGCACGGTTTATTGCTTCCGTGGCCTCCTCGGCCAGCTCCACGTGGACACACTGCCTCTTGGGTATTTTCCACCAGCTTGCAGCCTTTCCCCAGGGCCTCTGCTAGGGCTGAAGTTTATTTTTCCTCTGAGATTACCCTGAGACTCACGTCCTCATAGGCTCAGTGCAATGGACTGTGGCCCCTCTGCCTCCGAGGAAGGGCCATGGAAGGAAGTGAGGGGCTGCTAGGAGAGCCACTGCTCTAGGGCAGAGGCTTCAGAGCCCCCAGGTGACCCAGCTTCCATGTCTTCTCCCACCATCAGGTATAGGACGGGATGACCCACAGCTGGAGATATTTCTCCACCCACGGTATCAAGGCTAGGCTGGGTTATGTGTACAAAATCACAGACCGTCTGTCAGAGCTGGGAGAGACCTTAGCAATCATCTATTCCCAACCTGCCTCTTTTTCCCTAGCTGAGGAAACTGATATACCCAGAAAGATTAAGTGACCTTCCCAAGGTCACATGGCCAGTGCAGGGCCAGGACTAGAAGCCAGGTCTCCTGGCTCTGGCTCCTCACTTCCTGTGAGCCACTGTTGGGGGTCAAGTCCCAGGCCTTCCCTGGAAGGAGCAGCATCTTTTGAGAGATTCCAGATCAGCCCCCAAAAGCTCCTAGTCATGACCACCATGACATCGTGGGGGCCAGGGACGTCCCTGATAATCCTCAGTGAACTATCATCTAATCATTCAGTAATTACTTAGCCTGTGTTTACTGGGTGCTTGGGTCCCTGTCCTCACAGAGCCTCGACTTGGTTGTAAAGGAGATAAAAGCCACCAGCGACTGAGATAAGACAAGCCCTCGGGGACTAGTTATGCTCAAAGGAGGAACATCTGTTCATACTAGAAAAGTTGGAGAAGGCTTTGGAGAGGAGGCGGGAAGTGGACCTTGAGAAACGGGTGGTCAGCTTTATTTGGTTAGAAATGAGAAGGAGAGGGGGCGGGGAGCATAGCCCAAAGGTGGAAATTATGGTGCTGTGGTGGGGTTTGGTGCAAGGGCTGGTCCCCAGTCCCCACTAAAATGGGGAGTGGGGATGGAGTGCATTGCTGGCCGTGGTCTTGGCTGCCTGGCAGCGGAGCTGGCCCAGAGTGGGGCAGAAGATCAGCTCTAGGGGGAAGGCTAACCCTCCCCGCGAGACTCTGTAAGCCAATCTCACAGAATTTGCAGAACTCACTGTTTCCTGCAAATTCTTTAAGACCGAGGAAGCACTGGGCCAGGCCTGAGAAAGACCCAGCGGGCCTGGGTTGCTGCCAGGGCATGCTTCTCGAAGCTCCAAGGCAGATGTGGGTACCTGAGTTGAGAATAGAGCAGAGAGCTCAGGACCCTGAGGAATTCCATTCCACTGAGATTTCTGTCCGGCTGATGACCTAAGGGTCCAGCAGTTTTCCCAGACAGATCCCATCAGTTCAGATGGAGGAAGCTCGGATAAGCCGGGGGCTTCCTGGAGAAGGAGGTGTGGGCTAAACTTGGAAGGCTCTGCAGGGCCTAGGGAGCCAGGACTGGGGCTTCAAGCAGCAGGCCCCTCCTGTGCTGACTCGGCTGACTGTGCCCCTTCCTAGTGGTGCCCTTCCAGGAAGTGTGGGGCCGCAGCTACTGCCGGGCGCTGGAGCGGCTGGTGGACATCGTGTCGGAGTACCCCAGTGAGGTGGAGCATATGTTTAGCCCATCCTGCGTCTCCCTGCTGCGCTGTACCGGCTGCTGTGGCGATGAGAACCTGCACTGTGTGCCGGCGGAGATGGCCAATGTCACCATGCAGGTAGGGAGGGTCTCCTCCTCATGTCCCGCCTGCCCCATCATCCATACCTGTCTCAGAGGGCCACAGAACCTGCCAACTACAAGGGATCTGGAGAGGAGAGGAGGCAGGCCAAGGTCACAGGACTGCAATGGGCCCCCAGGCCTGGGTTCTTACCGCTTTTTGAGCCCCTGTCCCAGCTTTGAGCCCACTCACCTCCTCTCTTATCAGCTTTCCCAGGCTCTAGCTTAGCCCTACTCCAGAGCTCAGGGTATCTGGTTGAGGTTAGAAAAGACATCTGCTTAGATTCAAGAAGTCCCTGTTTATACCAGTAGCATTTAGTGCTCTAAGCTTTGCTTTCACATACACCCCCCCGCACCACCCCCCATACATTCAATGGTTTATTGAGCACTTACTAGGTAATACCAAGTAAGTTTTGTGTTAGGCATAAATGCTACCTCAACAGTCAATTCTTGAGGGCAAGTGTTACTCCCATTTCACAGATGAGGAACTTGAGGTTCAAAGATGTTCTTTCTCTTGCTCAGCAGGTGGAAGAGCCAAGATTTGAACATAGGTCTCTCTGAGTCCAGAGCATGGGCCCCCTTCCTACACTGTTGCTATGTGGGTGGCCCTGGGTAGGGAGGGACAGGGGTCTCCCTCAGATTCGCATGCAGGTGGGAGGGCTGTTTGCCCCACACTCAAAGCAGAAAGAGGGCATGTAGTCCAAAGGCTGATGGGAAACAGGGAGTCTGGTCCTCCCCACAAGGAGAGGGTGAGAGAGTGTTGGAAATCCATGGGCCACCCCCCAATCCAGGCATCCAACCTTTCTCTCCCTGCAGCTCCTGAAGATCCGCTCTGGGTACCGGCCCTCCTACGTGGAGCTGACATTCTCTCAGCATGTGCGCTGTGAGTGCAGGTAGGTCCTGAGGGTGTGGCAGGGACGGGCCGTGTACTTGGCATCCTCAGACAAATCGTTGCCCATCGCTGCTGCAGGTGATACTTCCTTCCCGGCTGGGGGAGACCAGGGAAATCAGGGACCAGTGGCAGCTGCATTTTGTCTCCTCATCAGCTGGTTTTTGCCTGGAGAGGTAGTCTCAGCAGAGGCTTGCAGGTGCTCAGGGCACACCATCCCCTGTCCCCACCACCACTGAGATGGGAGACAGCTGCCACCGTCCTGGAAGAGGCACCTGAGGCAAGGACATTGCAAGCCTGGGCTTCGTTCTGGGCCAGGCTGCGGCCTGTGGAAGGGGACAACTGGGCCGAAGAGCACAGGGAACGACAAACCCTGGTGGGAGGAAAAGAGCAGAACAAAGGAGGCCCTGAGATTTCTTTAAAATCATGCGCCACCTGGCAGAGCTTCTGACCAGCACCAGTCTGCTGTCCGTTCCCAGAATGCTCTGAACACTCGTTATAGGGAGGAGCAGGCCGGGCACTGCCAACCAGGCCCAAGGAAGAGACATGCTGAAGTGCTGTCTTGGTGCCCCTTGGGCCACGGATGGAGGCACCAGACCAGGTCCTGAGCTCTGTCCCGGGGCGGGAAGAGGGGGAAGGCCCACCGTTTATTGTGCCCCTCCTCCGTGCCTAGCCCCACACTAAGCACTTGATTGTGTTTTCTCATTTATTGTTCAAATGTTCACATTCTCATTCAAATGTTTCTCAATAAGCATTTATTGAGCACCTACTGTATGTCAGGCACTGTCCTAGATGCTTGGGATACAGTAGTGAGCATGACAGACAAGATCCCTGCTCTCACAACAACCCTAGGAGGTAGGTATAACTGTCGGCACCATTTTATAGATGAGAAAACTGAGTCTTGGTATGGTTACATGATTTGCCACAGCTTATAAGTAAACCCCAGCCGGTCTAACCCCTAAGCCTGTCCTTTTTCATGCTACCTCTCATGGCCATTGCCACGCTTTCCAGGAGCCCCCGTACTTCCCTGGGCTTGGCCTTGCCTAGCGCCCAGGTCTCTGGCCACCCCTCTTGGACCTGAGTCCAGGCTCCAGGCCCTCTTCACTATCCTACTGTTTGGGGCTCTGCTTCAGTTCGTTTCCTCCCATCCCTCTCAGCCAGGGCTTAGCCATATAACAATAGTTTGGTAATGAACCTTCCTGGGCACAGTGCAGGATGGCGACCTTTTGCCTTCCGCATCACCCTTGCCCTCACAGCCACTCTGTTGGGACAGGCAGACAAAGAGACTGAATCTCCAAAAGTGTCTTGGACTTGCCCAAGATGGCAGAGACATGACCAGGCAGTCCAAGGCCCTGGTATCCTGCCCTGTCTCCCAAGGGAGACAGCCCGCCTAGGGCAGCATTCCCTGGCCATGCTGCCCCATGCCCCTACCCCCGTTCCCAGGGAAGACTGAGGCCCTGTCACCTTCCAACGGGCTGGCCAACAGGGACACCTTTCTTCTCGCTTCTGGGCCAACAGCCACAGCTCCGGAGGCAGAGCCAGGACGTGCCTGGCGAATACGAGGCTGTGCTTATCTCCCCTCACTCCACCCCTCTCCCCCTCCTCCTGCTTTGCCTGCAGCGTCACACATCCCCGGCGCGGGGGTGGCAGTTGTGTCCTGACAAGCAGCCTTAGCTGGCAGCAGCCATCCTCCAGTCCGTGGCCTTGTCCCTCATTTACTGTCCTTAAGGAAACTCTGAGTGCAAGGACAAACCCTCCAAGGGCAGGCGGGAGCAAAGGAAGGAAGTGAACAGAGAAGGCAGCGGAGAACAGACTCACAGACCCCCAGATTTGATGCCAAGAAGCTGAGAAAGGCAGAAGGGTCTGCAGAGGGGCCCCAAGAGGGAATTCCTACCTCTCTTGCTGGAGTCACCAGAGTGTAGAGTGGGAGCTCAAGCCCAGAGACCGCTGACCATCTCTCCCTCATTAGCTCCATGCTACCCCCTAGTGGCTTTAGCACCAACTGCAGGACCAGGACTCCTGAGGAGAGGTATTGGGGTGGCCGCGAGCCCCTACTTACTGCTTTCCTGATTCTCCCCTACCCCTCTCTCTGTCTGTTTTTTCAGGCCTATGCGGGAGAAGATGAAGCCAGAAAGGTAAGTGGCCTGGCTGGGGCTCTGGACTATTCTCCAGCCTTCCCGCCCCTGTCCTTTATAGCATGGGGCCCCCAGCCGCTCTGTCCTGACGCTTTTGGCTTATTGCAGGAGGAGACCCAAGGGCAGGGGGAAGAGGAAGAGAGAGAAGCAGAGACCCACAGACTGCCACCTGTGAGTGTGAGGCGGGGGATCCCAGGGATGGCAAGGAGGCTGGGCCAGAGGGAAGCCCATGCCTGCAGGGGTCAGTGGTCGGGAAGGGAAAGCAAAGCCCAGTTCAGTTTTGGGAGCCAGAACAGGGAGCTGCACGTGGAAAGATTATAGAGCCCAGGAAGCGTCAGGGGGCCTTGATTCTTGTCCTGACTTAGCCCGAGTCTCTGTGTGGCCTCAAGCAAGTCATGTCTCCTCTCGGAGCCTAATTTTTCTCTCTGTGTAAAATGAGGGGTCAGGGGCCCACCAGGCATTTAGTCATTCTAGAAATATTTACCAAGTACTTACTGTGTGCCAGGTATACCAGTAAACAAAGCAACAAGATTCTTGCTCTTAAGTGCTTACCTTCTAGTGATGAAAAGTCCAACAGCTGAAAATGTATCCAGGGCTCGAGTAGTGACCCTAGTTGAGGGGGTAACCACTCACTGGCTCCCAGACCAGTATTTATGTGCCCCCTCCAGGGGGCCTTGGGGTCCAGGCTTCCTCT